ATAAGGTTACCAAATTTTCAATTATTGTAGTTTTCCATTATATAACCTTACCTTATTGCAGTTTAATGTCATCATTAGAGGAACAACCTGTTCCTGGGTGATCGGAAGCATTCTCCTTTGTAATCACCCTACACTTCATTTAGTGAAGTCACAAGGCACAGTTTGTGACCTTAGTTTTGTTTTTGTCTTGATGATTTGTGATTTCACAAGTACTAGTAGTCCCATGAAACATGACTGAAAGAACCAGCTAGGAAAATAGTACTTCTAATTCAAAGACAATTTCTATTTATACAAACAAATGTGCATGCACTCATGTGTGCATGAGCACATGCATAAACTGGTGGTTAAAATCCCATGGGAGGCAAGTCTAAAGGGGAAAGGAGTCCAAGAGATCATATTAAGGATGATCAGGCTTTAATAAATAGGCCATCCCTATGTAAAGAAAAGTTAGGAAGTGCCACCAAAGACCAGCCTAGCTAAGCAGCAAGCTCTTCACTGAGCTGAATAGTGTGAGCCAGTTAGTCTTTAAGGGCGACTGTAGCATGTGCAGTGAGGCTACACCGATGCACTATAATTATAGCACGTCAGAGCAGACTTGATTAATCAAGTCTGTTGAAATTTAGCATACTTGTAAATTGCTGGGTTTTTTTGCCTGACAGCCCTTGTTAACTGCAACTTAATTCATGCCTTGGCCTTCCTGATTTTTCTCCCTGCATGCTTGTGAGATACTCTTATGCTCATCCTCAGTAAAATAGCCAAGCCTCCATTTTTTGTAAAATACCTTTTGAAGTTTCAGTTCACTGAAGAAAGTAAGGCAGGATGCCTTAGGGTACCTGTAGACCTGCAAGACTCCTGCTTCGTTGCGCTTTAATTACCGCATGTTGAAGCAAGCTCAATTAATTAAGCTCGCTAAGTAGAACACTCCACCAGCCTCAGCATCTCATGTATTCGGTATCCCCACGCTTTGAAATGGCAGTGGGGGTGCTTTATCTAAAGCTCATCAAACGAGCTTTAGTAAAAGGACCCCTGCTGCCATTTTGAGGAACGGGATGCTGAATACACAAAACGCCATGTGCGCTTTAATTAGAGTGGCTCCTAAGAGCCACTCTAATTAAAGCATCCCCTACCCAGCCCCTAGAGCATGTGTAAAAAACAAACAAACAAACCCCACCTTAGGGTGTTTATACACATTCTCTGGGAGTGGGGGGAGGCACTTTGATTAAAGCACTTGGAGCATCATGTGTATCAGCGTCCCTGCACTAAAAAATGGCAGCAGGGTCTCATTGAAGCTTCTTCAGTGTGCTGAAACTTCCAAACTATTTTAGATAAAATGGAAGATTGCACATTTTGCTGGGGATGAGCATAAGATTATCTCACAAGCATGCAGGGAGAAAATCAAGAAGGCCGAGGCATGAACTAAGATGAGTTAGCAAGGGATGTAAGGCAAAAAAAAAATCATTCTACAACTATGTTTAAGAAAGGCGAAAACCTAAAAAAGTATAAGTCCCTTCCTGAATGCAGAGGGCAACTTAAAAATGGACACTGCAAAGAAGACCTCAGTATTTTTAGACTGAATTCTTTTTTTCTCTTCTGTCTTTGCAAATAAGATCAGCTACCAAATGATAAGCACATCTGGCACCAATGATAGGGAAGGAGTTAAGTGGCCCAAAGTAGTGAAAGAACAGGTTGGAGATTACTTAGAGTAGCTGGGTATTTTCAAGTCAGTAAGGCTAGACAAGATTAATCTTTGGAATTGGAATCTTAAGGAGTTGGCTGAGTAATTGCTATTCCCTTTGAGAAGTTGTGGAAGTTGGGTGAAGTTCCATCAACTGGTAAAAGGGCAAATTTCTTGCTCATCTGGAAGAAAGGGAAGGAAGATCTAGGCAATTATAGATTGGTCAGTCTAACTCTGATGCCTAGAAAGAATATGGAGCAGTTCACTAAGGAATCTCTTTCTGAGCCCCTAGAAAATAACAAGGTGATCACTAGCCAATAGGGCTGTGCAAAGCTTCGATCCCTGATTTGATTTGGCAGAGATTCAGCCTGATTCGGTGGCTGAATCTCTGAATCCGAATCAAATCAGGAAACCCTTTAATATCTCCAAGTCAAAACGGAACCCTCCGAATCAATTTGGGCAGATTTGGAAAGATTCAGCGATTCAGACATAGACACAGCTTTAAATGTTTTTTCTACATACCTCAAGGTACCAGGTGGCTTGTGAATTCTGAGATGCTGGCGCAGATGGAGTGTCCCACAGGAGCACAGGGGGCTCCCTGGCATGTTTGGCAGCAGACCCAGAAGTGGACCAGAAGTACTTCTGGGTCCAACAGGGAGCATGTGGGGGGGCACACCTCCCTGGCTCGGTGACTGATGCCTCCTGGGTCTAGGGGAGGTGCATCTGGGATCCCCCTGTCGCAAATTGCTGAGCTGGGGAGGTGTAGGGGCGGGGCCAGAAGTATACTGGAAGTACCCCCAGGGAGTACTCCTGTGGGATGCTCCATCCGTCTCACCATCACAGCATTCACAATCCACGCCTAGCACCTTGAGGTATGTAAAAAAGGCATTTAAAGCTGTGTCTATGGCCAAATCGCTGATTCTCCAAATCATCATTGAATCTTCACATTCGGATTCAGCTGAATTGAATCAGGGACAGTGATCTGAATCAACAAATCAAATCACTGTCCCCGATTCGGGGGGAATCTGAATCTGAATTGAATTGGCCTGTTTTGGACACCTCTACTAGCCAATACACATTCACTAAGAGCAAATATTACCTAACCAAATTGATTTCCTTTTGCAATGAAGAGATGGGCTTTCTGGATGAAAGAAGAGCACTTCATGTGATATACCCGACTTTTAGCAAGGCTGTGGACACTGTCTCCCATGGCATTTTCACTAGCAAGCTAAAGAAATGCAGTGTAGACAAATGTACTATAATCTGGATGCATAACAGATATCAAGCCAACATGAATGGCTTGACATCTAATTAGGAGGAAGTATTGAATACAGTTTCCCAGGGGTCTGTTTTGAGTCCAGTACTGCTTAATATCTTAATTAATGTTTTGGGGGATAGGGTTGCTTGCCCACTTAGCCAATTTGCAAATGATTCCAAGCTGGGTATAGTTGCAGGCACTGTGGAGGATAGGATTAGGATTCAAAACAACCCTGAGAAACTGGGGGAAAATGTCTGAAATAATCAAATAGAGTTCAGTAAGGACAAGGACAAAATCCTGAACTTAGGTCAGAACAACTGCATGCGCAAATACAAATAGAGGAACAACTGGCTAGACTGCAATGCTGCAGAAAAAGACTTGGAGGTTATGGTCCACTGCCAGCTAAATATGAGCCAATACTAAGTTCTTGTTGCAAGAAAGCTAATAGCACACTGAGCTGTATTAACAGGGCTGTTACTTACAAGTCAAGGGAAGTATTTCTTCCACTCCATTCGACACTGATGAGTCCTCATCTAGAGTACTGTGTACAGTTTTGGGCATTGTACTTCAAGAAATATGTAGATGCATTAGGGGGAGGCCAGCAGAGAGCAACAAAAATGAGTACAGGACTGGGAAATATGTTTTATGAGAAAAGTTTGCAATACCTATGATTATTTAGTCTGGAGAAGAAAAGACCAAGAGAGGATTTGATAATACCTGAAGGATGATTTTAAAGAGGAAACTTTTCTCAGTGGCTGTCGGGGACAGGACAGACACCAACATTTTAAAACTTCAACTAGATAAATATAGGTTAGCTTTTAAGAACTTGCTCATTGTGAAGGTGCTTATGCATTGGAAGATATTACCTAAAGTTCTTGTGGAATCTCTATCCTTGGAAGTATCCGAGAGTGGGTTAAGTAAACACCTGTCTGGAATGGTTTAAAGTTTGAGCTACTCTTGAAGAAGAGGTTGGACCAGATGACCTCTTGAGGTCCCTTTTAACCCCTATTTTTCTATGATTCTATGGTAAGAAAAGTACAGTATCATGTAATGTGTTTTGGTAGGTTACAGTTGTAAACCTGCTGGTGTGGTTGTAAGAGTATCATCTGTGAATTTTACAGGAGTGAAGTTCTTGGGAAGGAGGAATTGAAACAGCTATCTAAAATGCCTACATACTCATTTCATATGTGAAGCTGGCACTCATCCTGTATTCTGTATGCTCTCTTGAACAGGTGCTCTTGAAGCATAAAAGGAGTAAAGTGAGAGAAGGACCTCCTTTTAGTAAATAGCTGACTTCATCTTTGAATATAACATTACTTATGGCACACAGCAGAGTTTTCAGTTAGGCCTCTTTTACAAGCAATTGATATTCTCTATAGCCTGTGCATAATGCTGTCTAGAGAGTTAGAAGGATGTTAACATTTCATTACTCCTGCCATTGATTTTTCTCTACTTTCTTCACAACAAAAATCAAAATGTGACTTCTTATTCCACTGAATTAGTTCCAGAGCACTTGGCATTATTGACCCCCTAATGAAAATTAATGATGGCTTCTTTCATTCAGTCTCTCAAGTAGGCACACCAAGTATGTTTAAAAAAAAGGGTGAATGTATTTCTCACATTGAAGTAGAATAACACCATATTAAATACAAAAACCTATGTTAATGCAACATTAAGTTTTCAAATTTAAAGGCACAAAGGTCATGAAATTAAAACATTATGGTCTCTGTTGCATCATCAGGACCCAGTACTGCAGAGACTTAAACATGTCAGTAGTCTCAGTCATGTGTAATCAGTGAGACTATTAGTGAGTAAAATAATACCTTAATTTAATTTGTACTTAAATATAATTTTAGCCCTCAATTTCTTCCATAGACAAATCTTTCCCTCCCAAGTATTTTCACTGAAGATAAAGGAAACCAGAGGATGCATAGCACAACTTTTCTGCCATCCTCCTCCTGGCCCCTTGTATATGAGCTCAGCAAGCCCTTGCTGCCAGGACAGTCACAAATAATAAAGGCAAATCAACTGGCAAATCAACACATTTTTTACTGTTTCTTTCTATAGACAATAAGGATTATGATGCATATCTCTCCTATACCAAAGTGGATCCTGACCAGTGGAATCAAGAAACTGGAGAAGAAGAACGATTTGCTCTTGAGATACTACCAGATATGCTTGAAAAGCATTATGGGTACAAATTGTTCATACCAGATAGAGATTTGATTCCCACTGGAAGTAAGTTGTGTTTACTTGTGTCTGTGCATGTTTCCTAAATGATAAATACCGACGGATGTATATACTGTGCTCTTCCCCCTCAATGAAATCACAAAAATGCTGAATGTGCATCCCCTAAAATTAAACATGTTTTAAAAATATATCAGTGGTATTTTCACCAAAGTTAAGAGAGTCTGGAAAGCCATGTATATAGATACAAAATGAAAGGATGATGAGATCTACATCTTGTTGGGTTCAATGAGGATCCACTAATCTACAAAATTCCCAGGCCCTGTCTAAAATCTGAATAGGAATTCAGAATTCAGTCCTAAAGTTTATTCCAGAACCCAAACAAGAGATAAAACAGTCTTGTGTTTTAACACAATCAGTTGATAACATTTGCAGTTCTGTGAAGCAATGTTATATAGCCTTGTGATTTATTAGTATTCACAGCAGGTAAGTGTGTGCTGCAGCCACTGGAGATCTTCAGAAAAAGAAAGTGTGCTGATTAAGGCCTTTCCCCCCAATTTACTTCTTTTTCGTGCTTATTTCACATAGTCCTGCCCAATTTTATTCATTGCTTTGCGAGCAGCTGTATTTCATCTTCATCTATCCAAGATAGACTTGCACAGGCTTCTAGTTACCAGGGTATTTGAACTTAATTTACTTTTTTGTTTGTTTTTAAAGAAAAAGCACAGCATTTGCCTAACCTTGTCAGTGCCTAAATTTACTAAGTATCTCCCTTTTTGACCTGAAAGCTCCCTAAGCACAAGCAGTTCTGCTTGTATGTGCCTGGAACTGCCCCAGTCTAAGCTAAGCCCCATTTGGATCCAGAAACTAGGCAGTGATGTTCTGATCCACAGTTTGCTAAGTAGCCTGAGCATATGCCTAAATTACTCTGACTGGATTGAGTTCAGCACAAAGAACAGCACCCAGCATCAAAAGACACGACTAGGGAGGGAAGAGGTGTTGGGGCTGGTACTAGTGTCCCATCTGATAGCTTTTATTTAATAGCTGAAAGCATTCTAATGGGAAGTGGAAGAGTCAGAGTTCTAACATTTCCACAGCTTTTGGGAATTTAAACAAACATCTCAAATTTTCCTAGACAATGTCCTTACCACCAGACCACAGGCTATTCCCTGGGGTGGGAGGAGCCACTGTGAAAGACAATGGATACAAACCAGAAATAATGCAAGAAGAAGGGACTGGAACCTCTGACTCCCTGTCCCTTAATGCTAAACTAGATCCATGTTCCTTGCTTATTCATCTTCTAGGCCTATAAATCTCAAATTCATTGATGCACAGTAGTCGAGCTCCAACAGGGAAAGGTGGAAAATACTCTTTAGGGGAAATGTGAGAGGTGAGTTTGAGCCTCATCAGGCTGAGGGAAGTCTAGAAATGAGGGGTCCCACTTCCTGAATTAGTGTTCTGATTACCAGACTATTACATAAAAGGCAGGAACCATAGCCAGTATAATTTATGTTACTCTGCTGTGTTTGGAGTTTTTTAAGTGAATCTTCTTCAGTTCGTTGGAAAAGTGGTTGTAAGCACTTCCCCGAGAGAGAGGTCTTAAGGAGCCCAGGTGGCCTTGAGATAATACAAGGGAAGTTAAGACATCTAAACTCCAAAGGGTGGGAATTCAGGCATCCCTCTGTGCTTAGCATTGCCTGTTTTCAAGCTCAAGGTAGCTCCTTCCTCAACATGCTAGTTTTGAGGTTTTTTTATCACATTTCTGAGGCACCTACTCTCCCCAGTAAAAGCCTATGTGCCTAACTCTGGGTTTTTTATTTACTTTGGGGGGGCCAGGCACACTGAACACTTAGCAAGTAAACATCTAGGTCCTCTGCTGGAGCTAGGCATTAGATTTTTTTAGCAGAGCAATGCTGATAACAAAGATCCTTGTTCAGATGCAAATATGGGTATTTGTATAATGAAAAAGTCTAAGCAAAGCAAGCAAGCTTGCATAAACAAAGCAAGCTTGCATAAACATGATGGAAATTTAAATGAGTATTTGCATGTTCAACCTACTTTTAAGGGAAAGGAAAATTTAGCCCTTTTTCTACCAAGGCCACAAAGGGGAAGATGGTTACTTCCACTGATCTTGGATGGTTACTTCCACTGAACAATTGTCTTATTTTGTAGCCTACATTGAAGATGTGGCAAGATGTGTAGACCAAAGCAAGCGACTCATCATTGTCATGACTCCAAATTATGTGGTAAGAAGAGGCTGGAGCATCTTTGAACTGGAAACTAGGCTTCGGAACATGTTAGTCACGGGTGAAATCAAAGTAATACTGATTGAATGCAGTGAACTCCGGGGAATTATGAACTACCAGGAGGTTGAGGCCCTGAAACATACCATCAAGCTTCTAACTGTCATTAAATGGCACGGACCAAAATGCAACAAGTTGAATTCCAAATTTTGGAAACGTTTACAGTATGAAATGCCTTTTAAGCGGATAGAACCCATCACGCATGAGCAGGTTTTAGATGTCAGTGAGCAGGGGCCCTTTGGGGAACTGCAGACGGTCTCAGCAATTTCAATGGCTGCTGCCACCTCCACTGCCCTTGCCACTGCCCATCCAGATCTACGCTCCACCTTTCATAACACGTATCATTCACAGATGCGCCAGAAACACTATTATCGAAGCTATGAATACGATGTACCTCCTACTGGCACCCTGCCTCTTACCTCAATAGGTAACCAGCATACCTACTGCAACATCCCTATGACACTTATCAATGGGCAGCGGCCACAGACAAAAACAAATAGGGAGCAGAATCCAGATGAGGCTCACACAAACAGTGCAATACTGCCCCTCTTGCCACGGGAGACCAGTATATCAAGTGTCATTTGGTGACAGAAATGCAAGGGGGACCTCAACCCCCTTGAGTAGGAGCTAAGTCTGCAGTCTGGTGCCTGGAACTACATCCTCGACTGCTGCTGTTAAACATGCATTACAATCTATGAAATACGAGGAGAAACAGGGTCTTGTACATATGTTTTTTGCAATTTCTTTGTAGCATCAGTCTTCCTGTTTTACCCATGTCCTTTGCCATTCACATCTTTGACTTTGTTTTATATGTCATTGGGATTTGTATATTGACATTTTTTAAATGAAGAGACTGCTGTATAGATAGGAAAACTTTTTGCTTCATTAGTATAGTTTTAGATTTTTTTTAACATTTCTTGGGAATGCTTGGACACAGCTATGTTGATATCAGAAGCACCATCCATTTTGTTGGCCTGCCTAGCCTGATACATGAAGGCCATGCCTGCTGTAATTCACCTGCTGTGAAGAACATTTGTTCTTAGGAAGAAGCCCACCCATCATTCTGAACTCCAAGTTTCATTCCTTATCCCACGACAGCACTCTACCCCTTCCCTTCCTTTCCCTTCCCTTATGATGGTCCCATGCTGGGTAACAATAGCCTGATCATCTAACATTTAACTCAGTAAATGCTTGTCAGTCAGTAAGATATACCCAATCTGTATCAATTGCTTCACAGTAACCACTGCAGAGTGTGTAGAAAGTAGAGTTCGTTTTTTGTTTTATGAATGAGTTGATTGTATCCCTTTTATATATATAAAAAAACCCACCCTAATTTGCTCACTTCCTGGAAAAGTATGAATGTGATTGTGTTTGGGGTTATTTTTTTGTTTGTTGGTTTTAAGCATTTGACTTTTTTCTTTTTCCCCATAACATTTTGCAAAAGAGCTTATTTGCAATTGTCAGGAAAGTAATGCAATAGGCAGTGAAGCCAAAGTTCCCCTTTGGCTTCCAAACCAAAGGGGAATAGAAGGACAATATCAAATATGGTGTATCACATTGTATTATAGAAAATGCTATTTTCTAAAAAGTAAGAGCAAAATATTATTTTGCAGCTGATTATGGCGTCCCCTTGTATTTTAATGTTCCAATAACTGTATTTGCTTTACAATGATATATTCAGAGTTGAACATTCTTATTTCTTTTGTTTTAGCTTGTAACAATAAGTAAAAGTTTATTAATTTCAAGATGATTTACATGAGAACTCAGGCAGTAAAAAAAATTACCATGAATACCAACGAATATCAATGTTTTAAGAATAAGCATTTATTTATACAAAATTAATATTTAAATCAGACCTGGAAGTATTAAACAATTAATTTTATTGAATAAATAAATTAGTTTTATTTTTAATGTATGATTCCATCTTTGAGGAGTTGCAGATTACATGTGTACCATGGCTCCTAGGGAAAAAGTCACTGCTCACAGTTCAGATATCCTAAAAGTTAAGAGTAAATGACCTTACCAATATTTACATTTTAAATGGTGCAAGAGTCGCTTTCCATTTTAGAAAATGCAGGGAGTGGGATTAGAATAAAAAAAAATTAGGAGGCCAATCCTCTTTTGGTCTACCTGAAGCCAGTGGGGCTTGGTTAGAATTCCCTACTGATGATTCACACCCTTTTTTTATTATTTATACCAGCAGAGAGCTAAGGCCCCTAATTTTACTTCACATAACAACAAATTGATACCCAGAACACTTGGGAACAGATTGAATGCCAGAACGCAGAGATTTTAATTTATTTCAGTAACTCATTTCCTGTAGGGATTTTCATAACAGCTGACCAGTGTTGGCCAATATAATGGATGTTGTGTGAATTGTTCATTATTATTATCACTATAAAAGAAATACAAGTTATAATATTTTGGTCTCAGTAGGATGTGATTGGTCAAAATATGTAAACTGCAGTTTGGAGATGTTTGTCGGGGTAAGTCAAAATTGACAGTGTATGAGGAAATAGCTATTATCATGTTGTAACAGTTAAGAAATCTCAATATCTACATAACAAGCTTGAAGGAGCTTTGGGATGTGCACTGATTTTTATTTGCTTAAAAATGTTTATTTCTCTGACAATTCACCCGGGTCCTTTTCTATAATCTGTTCTTTATTTTAGTCTCTCCCCCTGGATATCAGTCAAATAGCCACAAAATGGAAATGAAGCTTCCAGGCCACATAAAATTTTAAGACAGCATTGCACATTTGGTCAGTTTCACATTCTAAGAAGGCTCCCATTTATTTTCTGTTATAGACATCTGTAAGTCAATAACGGCATTGAACTTCATTCAACTGGATTCCAAGCGCCCCGTGAACAAAGTAAAATAAAGCAATGCAACATCCTTTCACTTCCTCTTTTCCCTTTATATTTTTTAAGATGAAGATAGGGAGGTGGAATTAATGTAGAGTCAAATAATCTGACCACAGTCACATTCTAGGCATTGGTAGATGTTCCTTTAGCTGCACTGGGAGTACTTTTTGTTGTTCAGTTTTTAGTGTAGATTTAAGCACTTTGAATAGCATGATTCAGGGATTGATGGATACTATTTGATATTCACACTACTTAAAAGTTTTTTCTTATAATGTTTTGTCATAATATTAAACAAAAACAGACAAAAAAATCAAGGAAATAAACAGAGAAGCCTTTTATGGCTTTAGAAACATTCCTCCCAAGTATTCCTCTTCTATAAACAGCTCTGTGTGAGAAACAGTGAAGGAAACTGTCATGTTTTCACGTGCTCTATGTTTGACAAAAGTTCTGTCAGAACACAAAATAAAAAGGAAAAAAACTTTCATTTGCCCTAGTGCTTAGGCTCCATCCTTTTTTGGTTTGAGATGTTCTAGTTTCTGATGATGAAGTCTGAAGTGTGCATGTAATAGCCAAGTACAAGTTTAGCCATAAAAATAGCACTTTATCTTTAAAAATTGTACAGTGTAATGATTGGAGAAAATGTACTCTGCCTGGTCACCAATGTTGGGTCTGTATGTGGATTCTATGCACATGAATTATCTAGGTATGGTGCTTCATCTTTGTAAAGCTCTCTATTGTCAGGTAACTCCTAGATATACAAAGAAGGGACTTTTTCACCCAACAACAAGGAAACTCATTATGAACAACTCCCAAATCACATGTATAGCTTTATAGAACGAGAGGACCACGCATTATGCAGCTGATTATTTTGAAGACAAAGTGCATCTCTGGACCTGATTCTGCTTTTGGCTACACCAGTGTAAATCCAAAATAACTACTTCAGTTGATTAAATTAAATCAGTGTGAAAACTGATTTTGATGAGAAGTGAATCGGGACAAACCAATAGGAAAGGAATTTGAACCTATATCTAATGATGGAAAGATACTTGGCTTGGAAGTTTTAATCAAAGATGATCCTAACTTGAGCAAGGGACTGGAGTCCATGACCTTGTGGGGACCCTTTCAGGCCTACTTTCCTATGATCCTATGAGGGAAGTCTTGGCCTGACTCAAGTCAATGGCAAAATTCCTATTGGCTTTAGGAGGGTCTCAGCTTCATCCAAGAACATTCCATCATATATATTTATTTATCAAATCACCAAGCTAGGGAGAACCTAACTAAAATAAAAAGAAGGAGCTATATAAATGTTTGGTGTTTGGGTTAAATAATTTAGCCTTAAATGCAAACTTTTTACAGTTTTCTCTAAGCACCCAGTTGTGAAAACCAAGGACATATTACATAATGGGAGATAATCAGACTCTACATAATTAGGAAGTCTGTTATAGTTGCCTGATTAAAATACACAAAGTTTTACTTGAATAGTGTGCATTAAGGACACATTTAAATTATAGATAGAGCAATGAGATTTGGCCTGATAAACAGACTTCCTTTTTTCTTAAATTAAAAGAAAAATATTGCCAAGCTCTTAAACCCAGGGAGAATATCACTAAAATCAAAAGAAGGAAGTAAAAATTGCAACAGTAAAACAGACACTGAAGCAGTCAATGGAAACAGAAGCCAAGGAAGAGGAAGTGGGGAAAAATTGGCATATTTCTCCATTATGCTATGTCTCTGCCACAGAGCTCAGTGGCCATTTGGTCTGACCTACGAAAAAAACCCTGATTGTCGTATGCAGTGTCTTGGAAATGGATTCAAAGCAAAAATGCAGTCCTGCCTATCTGGTATCTTGCTGAATGCTTTCTTTTTTGTAGTAATCCAGGAGCAGGCATAGTTGCTGCACAGCTGTACATATGGGAACAGATGTTTATTCAGCACTAAAATTTCTCCTGCGCAGATGGCTTACTGCATGATCCAGTGCAATTATTCTCATTATCTCCTTGCCCATACTCAAGTCTATATCACTGTCTGGTTTTACCCTCATCATAACTGAGCTAGAGGTAGACTGAGCTGAACTTAGACAAACATAGGCAGTTTCATAACTAGCATTCAGTGTCTTTCTGCACAGTGATCACTTCAAGTTCACTTGCTTTTGATATCTCGATCGTGGCTTCTGCTCTGCTAATAGCCCATTGAGTGACGGTGAAGGAATGGGCTTTCCACTGTCACGTAAGGTTTTGTATGTTGAAGCTCAGCACTGATTCTATGTTGTCTTGCGGGAAGAGTAACCGTACTGCAGTTCCCCACCGACACTGAAAGAAGACATATCGGCAACGTCATGCTCTTCTAACTGAGCTTTGGTTGATGTTCCAGAATCTACAGAGCTTTGTGGGAGTAAGAACAATAGAAATGTCTCTGACCATAAAGATTTTTCTATAGCATTTTTTGTTTTATTCTATTTGATATCAAGTCCGATCATTATACATTATTCTATAGATAAGAGCAAAACTGATGAATGATTCAGCATTCATAAACAAATGATGTAAGAAAAAATATAAAGGGAAGGCCATTAGCAGTAATTCTGTGGGGAAAAAGAAAAAATCCCCCTCATTGTGCCTAAAAATATTAATACCTTCACTAAACTACTGCCAAGCTGTATCTTCCTGGGGATAATGGAGAAACAACCAAAAAGCTTTGTTTTTCAATATGCTTACATAATACAGCCAATATCTTAGAGAAAACCTTTCCAAAAACAGTCAAAATTTAATTGAAAAATGTTTGTGTCTGTGGAATTAGGTTTACATTGTCTCCTAGAATCAATGCAACCAGTTTTGAATGTTGTATGAAATAAGAAAGCTATATTCACTATCATTGATAGGAGTGCCGCCACACAGGTATTTCTTTGCTGTGCTGCCCTTTTTTGGAAAACAATTTAAAGCAACATTTTATTTTTAAGAACTTATATTAATATTCTTTATTTT